CAAGAATCAATACTGGTGAGGAATCATAATTATTTAATAGCAGTAAATTTCTTTACAATTCCAATAAATCATAATATTAGTTATTTCCTTATGCGATAACATTTGGCATTCATTGACCAAGTAGCCACTTCTACATTTGGTTGAAGTTTCTAAAATCTTCCTATTAAAACAATTTAAAAAAAAAAATAAACAATAGGCTTCTCATGTCCAGTAACTGTTAAAGCTCTTTCAAGTATTGATGGAAGTTTTTTCCTAAACTGTATTCCTGTATTTGTTTGAAGTAGTGTGGAATGCCAACATCTTGATTATGTCGTTATTTTCTCTTCAAGTTACATGTGATATCCATTTTAGATGTTGCCACTGCTAAAAATCCTCTATTGATGTGATTTCTATTATTTTGGTACCGTCCTGTATTTGTGATTCTGTAAGGCCAGTTCATGAGGTTCATAAAACTCTGGTCTTCCCCAAAATCCCCAGGCTTTACTTGCTCAATCCCATTTTTAACCATTGATCTTAAAAAGTTGTTGTATACAACTGACAGTTTAGATATTTCTGAGTGGACTTGCTGTCATGCATGGCATCCATATGAAAGTCTTAATCTGATGAGCTTATTTAAGAACATGATACAATTTTTTTTATTAATGTTTTGGTCTTGTAGCAACACGTGGTGTTGGCTTCTAGTGCAGCTTATTTTATGTTGAATTTCTTTATCTGCTATGCAAAATAATGGAATAAAACATACAATCTAGCCATCAGATCATGGCAGAAGAGGAGATAGAAATTACATTAAGAGTAATCTTCATTCAGCTATTAACTGATTTGTATTTTACAGCTTATCAGCTTTTTGCAGGTTATTTAAAGCCAGAAAAGACTTTTAGATTGTAAGAATATTTTGGAGATGATAATGTTTTTTTACTGATAGAGACTTTACTAATTAGCCTATTGATTGTAACACTTTATATTTTGGGGATCTCATGCCTTAAATTATTGATTCTATTTTTAGACTATTTAAAGCCAGACAATATTTTTAGATTGTAAGAATTTTTTTTTGGATTCTAAGAATTTTTTTCTTCTTAGAATCTAAAAATAACAGTTTAATGATAGAAGTTTTACTAATTAACCCATAGGTGTCAGAAGAGTTGGATTTGCATCAATGAGTATAACGAACCCAACTGGAATTGGAATTTGCCTCTCCAATTAACAATTCCAAGTCATTATCTATTACATTATCCACCTGCACATTCAGGCTTGTAGCATCTGGTATTCCAAGGTGGTCACCGATTTAGGTTGTGAACAGGCTTGATTACAAAGTTTTGGCCATTGTACACTCCGGCCTTCTTCAGGTGGTTGGAATCTCGAACTGAACTGTTTATTTCAAGAAGGCTGGAGCGTACAATGGCTGAAAACATTGTTATAAATATGGTAACAATGATGAGGACAATAGTCCGAATAATGTAAATAGTGCACATAATACCTCATGTCAGAAATATAGATACATACTGAAAGGCCGAAACGTTGTAATAAATATGGCGAAAAAGAGGAGGACAATAGTCCGAATAATGTAAATAATGTACATAATACCACATCTCAGAAATATAGACAGAGGCTTGATGTTGCTTAACTTTTGGTGATTATATGAGAACTGGTTTAGCTATCAAATAGAAAGATAACACTATCTCAGCCATCATGCAGTCTATTTTTTTCTTGTTTTAACTTAATTTCTTACCTTTTTATTGTCTATCCATATTGGTGTTTTTTTTTTTTTTAAACATTTTTCTCCATCTTTTCCCTTTCTTTTTAAACTTTTGTTTCATTCTTTGCTTCCATTTGCATTTCTCTGACTTTTGTCAGTAAAAACTCCTCTTCCAGTTTGTGTAAAGAGAATACCAGACAAAAGAACATTTCACTGAGTTTTCTATAGATAGAAACTACTTCGATTTCTGGGCTGACTCTCCAAGTACTAATGCCTGCAGGGAAATCTACTTAAGGCTAAATATTTCCATTCAACAGTAGATGTGGAATATCCCAAAAAAAAAAAAGAAAATTATTTTATGGTTTCCTATTGAAAGACAAGAATTTTCTGTCATTTGCCTTCTCTTTCTTCTCTGTAAAACCATTTCAAGCATTATTTTTTGTAATGTACTTTTTATGCGAAATCATGTCTTCGATGTGCGATCATGGCTCTCCCCAATTTCCTTTTTTTTGTAACACTTACTAAAGTTTGTCTTTTTGCTGTCTCTCCTAAACCCTATTCTGTTATCCATTTACATAAGCTCATTAGGTAGATTATAGGATGATTTCTTCTTTCCCTCAATATGTCCTTTGAGTATCAGATTTTCCAATCCTTCCTTCCTTCATTATGTGCAGCAAGAAATTTCAATTATTGCTTTCTGATCTTAAGTAGAAGTGTACTTTTTCTTTTCTTTTTTCGCTAAAACTTTGTCATTTCTCACATGTTCAGATCATATCCTTCTGTTGATTCAAATTCTTTATCTGTAAGGAGATTGTCCAGCATTCACTGCCATATTGGGGAACTGATATTATGTAACAGTTAAGTATTCTTTTCTTTGAGTCAAAATAAATTTTCCAGTTTCTTAATACTTTGTTTAGCTTTTGGTAGTCATCTTTTGCTGTCCCAATATACCTTCAGATTTACATTATTTACATTATTCGGAATATTGTCCTCATATTTGTCGCCATATTTATTACAATGTTTCAGCTGTTGTATGCTCCAGCCTTCTTCAAGTGGTTGGAATGTCGAACTGAACCCTTTATTTCACTAGACTGTTCTAGTTCACTGTGTCATGTGTATTTGATGTCAGTTATCAGTTATCACCTGTTAATTTCCCTCTGAAAGTTCTCCACTGCCTTAACTGGGTATTGAACTCATGCTCTTTGGGTCCTCAAGGACACATGGCACAGTGGATAAAGGCGTTGGTTAGATCCAGTGACAGGACGCAAAAAGTGTGAGTTCAATACCCGATTAAAGCAGTTGAGAACTTTCAGAGAGAAATTAATAGGAGATAACTGATAACTGACATCCATTAAACATGGCACGTGGAACTAGAACAGTCTACCCCTAGTGAGTGAAATAAAGGGTTAAGTTTGACATTCTAACTATATGAAGAAAGCCAGAGCATACAACGGCCGAAACGTTGTAATAAATATGACGACAAAGATGAGGACAATAGTCCGAATAATGTACATAATACCTGATCTCAGAAATATAGACAGATACCTTCAGATTTCAATATCACACTTTCTGTCCTCTGTTAAAATACTTCACAGATATTTAAATTGTTGTACTTGTTTGATTTTGGCATCCCCATCTTGTAATTTGCATATTGGGCTGTCCCTTTTGCTAACAACCATGCATTTTGCCTTCTTGCAATTGATGTTTAGTCCTTTTATCTTATTTTTCTTAACTACCTTCTGTAGGGGTTCTAGTAGTTTCGTTTTGATGTCTACTATCAACACTGTGTCATCTATATATCTTATGTTGTTAAGATTTTGGTCGCCAATAATGAATCTTGGTAGGTCTTCTAATTCTCTCAGAATTGCCTCGCTGTGTAGGTTGAATAAATCCGGTGCAAAGACACATCCTTGTCATACACCCGTTTCTATATTTGTATATTTACGGAATTCATTTTCTATCCATATACAGGCAGTAGTAGGTAATATACATTGACCCTTAAATAATGAGTTTACAGTTGTAGCAGAGGCTTACCTTGGTGTCTGAAAAGGGTGAGAATCATGTGTATGTTTTGCAATGGAGTGTGGGGATGTTGAATTGGCAAATTTCAGACTGAAGGTGAATTCACCAGCACTTCAAATTGGGCAGCATGTCATATAAGCGGATGTGTTGGTGTCGCTTGTAGCCATTTTTATTGGCTGGTTCTGAGCACTCATTGGCTAAGCGATGGCTGGGTGAGGTGCATAAAAGCATAGTATGCTCATTCAAGAGGAGTTTGAAAAACATAGTTAATTGTGGAATTGATTTAACTCTTGGATATATTGAACATATAGATTTTTTTTGTGTGTGTGTGCTTCTGACCAATTCTCACACAAGCTATTTCGGCATTTGTTTTCCCCCCCACCCTTTCCATGATGTCGGACAAGGCCTTTGATATCCAGCTGATTCAATACTGAAAGACTGGTTCTCATTTGATCCCTTGAAGATAAGCAATGTTGAGCCTGGTCAATACTTAGATGAGGAAATCCTTGGAAAACCAGGCATCATTTGCAATCTCCTACATGCCGAAATATGTATCAAATTTAAAAAACCCACAAGGGGTTAATAAGCCAAAAGAGAAAGAAATCAAACCTAAAAAATGATAGTATGAATTTATATGAATAAAAAATTAAAAAAAAAATCTGAACACATTTTTATTAATGTACATACATAGCTGTGAGTAAAAATAATTCAAACATAGTAATAAAATACAATTTATTCGTACCAGTAAACTTGATGCCAACTTATGATTCAGCAGCAAGTAATTTGAGCCTCCAAGTGCATGTGTCGCTCTTAAGTAAAACTGTTCAATCAATTGCTTAATGCAAAAGTATCGATCTGTATTGCCAGCAGAAGCAGCAGCAGAATCTCTGGTAATATAATTCACTGTAACTTCAACAAAAAGAAAAAAAATGATGACATGAAGTTTGGGAGGTAGTGGGAAAAAATACAAAATCTAAAAAGAAAAGAAAACGGTTTGACAAAAAAAAAAACATAACAAGCAAATGGAATTACAATAGATAAATAAGTAAAGGAATGAATAAGACGCTTTCGTAAATTCAATTTTCTCTTGTAACAAGTCACCTACATTTCTTTTTGACCTGACTCGCAAAATAAGATCAGAGCATTGAAAAAAAAATTAAATTTCTTTCATCTGTATTTCAATTTTGGTTTTGGGTAGAATGTGATTTGTTGAGGTGGGGAGGATATTCTTGTTTTATTTTGTATTGTTTTTTTTCCTTTTATTTTAAAAAAAAAAAAAATGAATATGGAAAAAAATAGTACTAGTTTTTTTTTCCATATTCTCTTTTTTTCATATTCAATCTCTTTTTTTTTCTCGTATTTGTTCTCTCTTTTTTTCTCATATTCATTCTTTCTTTCTTTTTTCTTAGTCCTCTTTCTTTCTTTTTTCTTAGTCCTCTTTCTTTCTTTTTTCCTAATCGTTCTCTTTTTTTTTTCCGTGTCAATATCTCCCTTTCTTTTTTCTTTCCGTGTCGATATCTCTCTTTCTTTTTTCTTTCCGTGTCGATATCTTTCTTTCTTTTTTCTTTCCGTGTCGATATCTCTCTTTCTTTTTTTCTTTCCGTGTCGATATCTCTCCTTCTTTTTTTCTTTCCGTGTCGATATCTCTTTCTTTTTTTCTTTCCGTGTCAATATCTCTCTTTCTTTTTTTCTTTCCGTGTCAATATCTCTCTTTCTTTTTTTCTTTCCGTGTCAATATCTCTCTTTCTTTTTTTCTTTCCGTGTCAATATCTCTCTTTCTTTTTTTCTTTCCGTGTCAATATCTCTCTTTCTTTTTTTTCTTTTCCGTGTCAATATCTCTCTTTTCTTTTTTTTTTTCCGTGTCAATATCTCTCTTTCTTTTTTTTTTCCGTGTCAATATCTCTCTTTCTTTTTTTCTTTCCGTGTCAATATCTCTCTTTCTTTTTTTTCTTTCCGTGTCAATATCTCTTTTTTTCTTTCCGTGTCAATATCTCTCTTTCTTTTTTCTTTCTGTGTCGTTCTCTTTTTTACATATTCTCTTTTCATAGTCTTTTCTCCTTTTCTTTCATACACTGGCCCTTTTTTGTTTCCTTTGATACTCTTTTCCCCATCTTTATTTGACTACTTTTTTCTTTTCTTTTCTTTTCTTTTACAGTTACATATTTAATTGTTTTTTTCTATTCTCTCCTTACTCATGTTCTTTCTTCCTCTTTTTCTCTCTTTTAATTTATGCCTACCCATCTATCTTTGTTACTCCTTTTTTCATATCATTTTCACCTCGAGCTGATTATTTCAGCCAATGTACCAGCAAGCCTCTTTTGTATTGTCTGAAGAATCATCATTATTCCATACAAGTATCCTCACGTTTTGGTATTTTGGTATTTAGTATCCAGTTAGTACATTCCCTGCCCTTTTATAATGTATGATAAAAGATTCTTTATCTCTTTTTACTTTATTTTTATTAGAAAGTTTCAATTGTTACTCCCAAGATTTCTGCACATGCAATATCTAAAGTGCCAAGATAATGCATCTTCATCAGTCCACTAAATGTTTAAACTAGAAAATGTGAAAACCTCACTATTCCTATCTCAGGTGGGGTACTTGTATAACTTTCTGTCATACAGTTGGTCCACATGTGCACATCTTGAGCTCAACCTCTTGGATACCAACTGATGCACAAACTGCAGACTCTCTGACAAAGAAAGGACTGCCATCATTTATGATTCTTGGATCCATATCAGAGCCTAAAGAATCCTCTGTATAATGAATCTACATTCTCCATTTTTTTTTTTTTTTTTTTTTAGCAAGCGAATACATTAATGGCTGCTCAGCCATTCCAGGTCAGACCGTCTTTTACTAGGTAGGAGAGTATCCAAGGGAAGCAACTCATGAAGATTAATACAACTAAGTTGACCACCTCTTTACATGTTAATTGAAGCCACTGACATCCTGTGATTCTGTGATGTGATTCTGCACCTTGATGCAATATATTCACTTTTCAGACCAACCCTCTGATGGACCAGTTTCACACTGAGTGCAAAGCCTACATATTTATTAAGGTGAACTCAAATGATATTAGAGTCAACACCGATCATCTCTTCGAACTAAGTTACCTTACTGAAAATAAAATTCAATATAGACCTTTTGTATTTCCTGGTATGTATCCAATATTATAAAAATTCTTGCTAATTATAATAGAAGACCTCAGTATATGGTGGTGCTTTTAAATTAATAGGTTGCAAGACCTACCAGGAGTTGGCTGAGTAGTGAGGTGAGTGATGTATATTTCAACCAACTTTCATGGAAGCATCATACATCTTCTATGTGCTGTGTCTATTCCAGATGTTTTTGATCATGGATCTCCACAATTTCCTGTTATTTGTAGCTCTTAATAAATTTTGTCTTTTTGTTATCTCTTCTAAACTTTGTGAGTCCTGTGAGTATCAAATTTTCCAAGCCCTGTTTCCTCGTTAGATGCTCTAGAAACAGTCACATTCTGATGTTAAGTATAAGTGTCCGTTTTTGTTTCCATGAATGCAAAATTAGACAAAAGGTATTTTTTTTTTTTTTATACAAGTTGATTCCAAAAATAAATACCTAGAATCATGGTTTTTTTTTTTAATTTCTTTTAAAATCAATTCACCCAAATAAGGTGATAATGTCACTAAGATGCAAGGTGCTACTGGGAGTGAAAGAGAACGAAAAGACTTTCAAAGGAACCAGAAACTCGGTCTTAAACAGGAAACAAGGAATAAACTTCTACTGCTGTTCAAAACACTGGGGAGGAGTATGAACCGGGCGATAGGTGAAACTCCTTTATCAGTTTATAACTGAAGCTTCTTCTCTGTACAAATTTGTCTATTATCTATCATATCCCTTCAAAACATTGGGAATCATGGCTCTCCACAACATCCCTTCCTAAGTAATATTTGTTCCTTTATTATCCCTTACAGTCTCTGTCCTGTTGTCCATCTTACACAAGTCTATTCAGTATGTTACTTGCTGTTTTCCCAGACCCTTTTGCCCTCAGTATGTCTTACAAGTATCAAATTCTTCAAGCCCTTTTTCCTCATAATATGTTCAAGAAATCTAAGCATCTATTTTTTTCCACTTTCTGAAAAACATCCTCATTACTCACATGCACTGTCCATGTTATTTTCAGCATCCTGCTGTAGAGCCCAAATTGTTTTCTTTAACTTTATTTTCTTCTTTCTAAACATTCTTTTCATTTTCCTACATCTGTCTCTCCCTTTCCTCTTCCTCCAGATATATCCACCATTGTCATTTTTTCTACCTTCAAGCCTCTTCGGGGACACATCTTTCAGAAACCAAAACGCCAATAAAGATCAAAAGTATTTCCCATAGACTTTATGCATACTGATTCCAATATCTTCTTATAGCAACCTTTTTCTTCCCTGTGCTATATCTCATCAGGAAGTTGGCGATGATGGCCCTCCACAATTTCCGGCTCTTTGTAGCTCTTAATAAATACTGTCTTTTTGTATCTCTCCTAAACTTCATCCCCCATCCATTTACTCAAGCTCACTAGGTAGGTTTTGTATTGTTTTCCTGTCTCTTTTACCTTCAATCTGTCTTATGAGTATCAAATTTTCCTAACCGTTTTTTCTTCCTAATGTGCTTTAGAAATCTCTTTCTGATGGTATTCTCAGCATCCTTCTGTAGAACCACATTTCTGTTGGTTGAAGTCTCTTCTTTATCCATGAGGAGAGTGCCCAACATCCACTGCCAATTTAGATATAGATATGAATCCTCTTCTTCTCCCCACCACCCAGCTATGGGCAAATAGGAGGACAGATTGGGTTTTATAGCCTTGGATGGCAACTGGTCTACTGCAGAAAGAAATGGCAACCTACTGCAGAAAAAAGTCTGCTTCATCAGTCATGTATCAAAAGATACATGATTGCCTACGTGGGTATCACTCATGGCAGATAGCTGACTAACAACTTAAAAAGGACAGACATTTAACAATAGTCAGTGAATTTTTCAGAAAATCTTTTTCTTAAAGTCTCAACCTTTTTGTCATTGCTTTGCGTAATGTTGTTAGAAACTCACAGAGTTATTGAAAACACAGACACTCAATACGCTAAGAACTTACAGCTTATCTTGACTTTTCTTCAAACATTACTGATGATAAAAAATTTTCTCACCTGATGTGAAAATTGGCTGTTTCAAAAGTCAAATTGTGAGGAAAGTTAAAAAAACATAACACTAAATCACTGTTATTGCTCAGCTGAAGTCATTTGTGTAAGATAGAAGTATTGATATTATTCAGACTATTATCAGTTACGAGAAAAGTATGCATCAAAACCCGACAAGACTGTCGACACAGGAATTTATGAATCAACATTTCAGTCTAGGATCAGAATCTCTTTGAACTCTGTTTAGGATCCAATTGCTTATCTCTGGAACCTTTTCCCAAGGAGCAGTGTAATATCTTTGAAGACCATAAAAATATATTACATAGATGTGAATTGAGATCAAATATAGATCAAATTCTGACAGAATAAGAGGACAAGGAAAAAATAGGAAACATCTATTAATTTAAATATTTACAAGAGAATATAGAGGAGAAAAAGGAAAAAAAAAACAGAATTTCCTTTTTATCCTCTATATTTCATTCTCTGTTAAAGCGTTAATAAAAACAATTCATAAACATTTCCATATATATTTTTTTTAATCATTTCACCCCTAGCAAAGTGGGAATGCCACTAGTATGCAGGGGACGACAGCAAGTGAAAGTGAGAGAAAAAACTGAGTATAAAGAGGATTGAGGAAAGGACAAAAGGGATTCAAGAAGATAGAAGATGGCGATTGATGTTGCATTTAAATTTTTGAAGATTGTAGTTATTAGGGAAGCAAGGAAATGGGAAGTGAAAGAAAAGAAACTGTTGGAGTAGAAATAGCAGTTGCATTTAGCTATTTCAACAGTAAATAGATGGGACCTAGATGCCAATCTAGTAACACACTTAAATTCATGTAGTCAGGGCACCAAGGCAAAAAGCTCATCAGAGCAGTTGCCATGAAAATATTTGTAGAAAAGGGGAGCCACACATTGTCATTGGGAAAATGGCTGAAGATGAGATACCTTGTCAGAATTCGATTACATTACAGATACTTCTTTTGTTTTTTTTTTTTCAAGAATCTCAGAATGTACAGCAGAATCACCAGAGAAGATATGGCAACAAGGACACTTACACTTGTTGCAGGCTTGTTGTGTAAGCATTATAAGATGCCTGCAACAAAGATTGTAGACTCAGAATATGAGTCCACCTAAAAAAATAATGTAAGTAAATGTCAAGAAATGATATATATGTACAAACAAATAATGTATTAGCAACAAAAGTATTACAAGTGACAAAAACAAAAATGGTTGTAAGAAATGAATGTGGAAATTTTTTAGTCCAAAGTATGTGAAGTGAGTGTATGTATGCGAGTACATACATGTGTGTATGTATTGTTTATGCATTTCCTTTCCCAAAAAGAGAAACAATCTTTCATGAGAGATTTACATGTTATCATAAAAGTGGGAAAGAAAGAAGAGAGTGACAAAAACTTATCACAGTGTATTTATAGTGTTGGCGAGTGTCTCCTAGGAACAGTTTCAAAAATTAGGAGGAAGTAACCCAACACACTTAACATCAAGAAGAGATAGTTGAAATTTCTTGAGTCCATAATGAGGAAAGACATCTTTGAAAATTTGATACTCACAGGAGAAATTGAAGACTAGAGCGAATGGATGACATAACAAAAATTGGGAGAGATAGCAAAATGACAAAATTAAGAGCTACAAAAATTAGGAAAAATTGTAGAGAGCCATGATTGACAACGTCCTGAAGAAATATGGCACCATAGATGCTGTGTCCAAAAAAAGTTTGAAGTTTGCTGAAAGATACCTCACAACTTGACCAACTTCAGGTCTGTCTTGCAAGTTATCAGTTTAGTAGCACCTACATATATATTGAGGTCATGTTAGTATAAGTAGCAAGATTATGTCCTTCACCAGCTTGCTATGCCTGTTGTATAGCTTGCAGTATTTTGTATTCTCCAGTAGTCACCCATCTAAGTACTGACCAAGTGTAGTCTTTATTAACTTCGGTAATCAGATGAAAACTGGTGTTTGAATGCAATGTGGCCTTTTTTTTTCCA